CATTTTGATTTTTTTCCCCTCAAACCTCTGGAACTCACCTTTCCATGGATTGTCATGTTCATAAGATTCAATATTAATAGTGTCTCGAATCCATTCCTACAAAGGTGGTAACCTTGCCTTTAATGGCCTAATTATCCTTTTGCATAGAGAATTGCCATTTTCAAAAGCCATAGATTCAATTACTGTTTGTCTGACTTCTGAATTTAGTATCATTCTATTTACTGCTGCAGTCAGTCTTTGTAAGATATCTGTGAAGGCTTCCTTTGAACCCTGTATAACTTCTGTAAATGACTCCATTTTCTTTCTTATTTCTCCAATTCTGTTCCAAGCATTCAAAGGTCCTGCATGATATAAATCCAGGGTATAGCCATCATATACAGCTTGCCATTCTATAGTAGCATAATCATCTCTAAGAACTTGATATAGGGGGATTTCCCTACCTCTAGCATTACTCCATTGTTCAATAATCTTAGCCTCTTCACTGAACCTGGTACTCCATTGTTATCGCACCAGGCTCTAAAACACCTTTAACCTCTATCCATTCTTCAGATATAATTCTATTACAGACAGACCTCGAGTTTAACATTTGCTTCACAAAAGGTGACTCTAAGTCATATGAGACTACGGCTTCCTTGAATCAATTTAAATCTAACATTGGCACAGGAGTCCACTTAGCTGTAAAACAAAAAAACCTCTACCATTTGGAAATTCCATAAAGCTACTGGTTATATTAAGTGTGGTTGTCTGAAAACCTTAAGCTGTTCTATTCTCTTTTTTATTGTTTTTCTTGAGCTATATATTTTTCTCTACTCCTTCTCGTCATCCCTCCCCTTCTACTCTCTCCCATGGTCCCCATGCTCCCAGTTTACTCAGGAGATGTTGTCCTTTTTTACTTCCCATGTACATGAGATCCATGTATATCTCTCTTAGGGTCCTCATTGTTGTCTAGATTCTCTAGGAATATAAATTGTAGGCTGGTTTTGCTTTACTTTCTGTCCAAAGACACTTAGGAATGAGTACATATGATATCTGTCTTTTTGGGTCTGGGTTACCTCACTCAGTATGATGTTTTCTAGATCCATCCATTTGCCTGCAAATTTCAAGATGTCATTATTTTTTTTCTGCTGTGTATTGCTCCATTGTGTAAATGTACCACATTTTCCTTATCTGTTCTTTGGTTGAGGGGCATTTATGTTGTTTCCAGGTTCTGGCTATGACAAACAATGCTACTATGAACATAGTTGAGCACATGCCCTTGGGGTATGATAGCGCATTCTTTGGGTTTATACCCAAAGGTCGTATTGCTGAGTCTTGAGGAAGGTTGTTTCCTAATTTTCTGAGAAATTGCCATACCGAATCCAAAGGAGCTGTAGCAGCTTGCACTCCCACCAGCAATGCAAGAGAGTTTCCTTTGCCCCACAACCTCTCCAGCATAAGTTGTTATTTGTGTTTTTGATCTTGGCCATTCTTACAGATGTAAGATGGAATCTCAGAATTGTTTTGATTTGCCTTTTTCTTTTGATTTGCTTTTTTCTGATGGCTAAGGATGTTGAACATTTCCTTAAGTTTCTTTCAGCCATTTTAGATTCCTCTATTGAGAGTTTTCTGTTTTGATCTATACCCATTTTTTTATTGGAATTTTTTTGATGACCGATTTCTTTGTATATTTTGGAGATTAGCCTTCTGTCCAATGTGGGATTGGTGAAGATATTTTGCCATCTGTTGGCTGCTGTTTTGTTTTGTTGCTCATGTTCGTTGCTTTACAGAAGCTTCTCAGTTTCAGGAGGTCCCCATTTTTAATTGTTTATCTTCCTGTCTGTGCTGCTGGGGTTCTATTTAGGAAGTGCTCTCCTGTGCCAATGCGTTCAAGTGTACTTCCCACTTTCTCTTCTATGAGGTTCAGTGTGGCTGGCTTTCTGTAGAAGTCTTTGGTCCATTTGGACTTGAGTTTTGTTCATGGTGGTAGATACAGATCTATTTTTCATTCTTCTACATGTTTATATCCAATTATGCCAGCACTATTTGTTAAATATGCTTTTTTCCATTTTATATTTTTTCCTTCTTTGTCAAAAATCAGGTATTCAAAGGTGTGTGAATTGATATCTGGGTCTTTGATTCACTTCCATTGATTCTCCTGTCTATTTTTATGCTGCTAGCAGGCTGTTTTCAGTACTGTAGCTCTGTAGTAGAGTTTGAAGTCAGGGATTGTGATGCTTCCAGAAGTTCCTTTATTGTACAGGATTGTTTTTGCTCTTCTGGATTCTTTGTTTTTCCATTTACAGTTGAGTACTGTTCTTTCAAGGTTTGTGAAGAATTTTGCTGGGATTTTTGATAGGCGTTGCATTGAATCTGTAGATTGCTTTTGGTAAGATTGCCATTTTTACTATGTTAATTCTACCTACCCAATAGCATGGAGATCTTTCTATTTCTGGTGTCTTCAATATTTTTCTTCAAAGATTTAAAGTTCTTGTCATACAGGTCTTCTACTCCTTTGATTAGAGTTACTCTAAGATATTTTATGTTATTTGTGGCTATTGTGGAGTGTGATGTTTCTCTGATGTTTTTCTTTTTCTTGAGTTAATCTTGTATTCTGCTACATTACTGAAGGTGTTTATGAGTTGTAGGTGTTCCTTGGTATAATTTTTAAAGTCACTTATATAAACTATCATATCATCAGCAAATAGCGAGAGTTTAAGTTTTTTTCTGATTTGAATCCCTTGATCTCCTCTTGTTGTATTATTGCTCTAGCTAGACCTTCAAGTATTATATTAAATAGATACAGAGAGAGTGGACAACCTAGTCTTGTTCCTACTTTCAGTGAGATCACTTCCATTTAGTTTGATATTGACTATTGTCTTGCTGTATATTGCCTTTATTATGTTTAGATATGTTCTTTGTATCTCTGCTCTCTCCAAGACCTTTATCATAAAGGAATATTGTATTTTGTCAAAGGCGTTTTAGCATCTAATGAGATGATCTTTTTCTTTTCAGTTTATTTTTTATTTTTTTAATTTATTTTTACTTAAAAATTTCCACCTCCTCCCCTTCCCATTTCTCTCCCCCCCCCCCATCCCTTTCCCCTTCCCTCAGTTTATTTATATGGTGGATTACATTGACAAATGTTCATATGTTGAGCCATCCCTGCATCTCTGGGATGAAACCAACTTGATTATAGTTTGATGTTAGATCATAGGATGATATTTCTGATGTGTTCTTGGATTTGATTTGCCATTATTTTATTGAGTATTTTTTGCAGCAATGTTCATGAGGGAGATTGGGGAGGGGGGAGGGAGAGGGAAGAAGGAAGGGAGGGAGGGAGAGAGGGAGAGAGAGCCAACTGTCTGAAAAATATGTGGGGATTGTTCTCTAAGGTGGATGAGTTCTAGACTTTCGAGCTCAGGTGCTTCTGAAGTTTGGCTGGCAGTTGGAGACTTTCAGAGAGGCTACAACAAGAAAATCCCAAACTTGGTCTGAGGCTTGGGGAAAAAAAGAAAAGAAAGCCAAGCCGGGTGCTGGTGGCTAAAATGTCAAAGGCAAATGGCTTTTCTGTGAATTCGTACCAATTTTATCATGATTAATAAATACCCAGAGATAGATAATAGGGTTCAACCTGAAGATCAGAAAAGCAAAGCAGCCAAGCCTCTAGAGAGCTGAATCTTCAGATTGAAAAGAGAGTGAGTTTCTGTCTCATACTGCCTTATATATCTCTCTAGTATTGGGTTAAAGGCGACCACCACCACCACCGGGCCTTTGTGGCTAGCTAGTGTGACTTCTGGGACTAAAGGTGTATGCCTGGCCTGTATGTCTGACCTGTGTGGCTGTTTTGTGTTCTGATCTTCAAAAAAAAAAAAAAAGAAATGAAATATCACCGCAAGTGGCAGAGGAAAGGAAGGCCTAGCATTTGTGAAGTGCCTCCTGCACCAGTGGTCATCATCTGAGCCAGTGGACTAAGCTGGATAGAGGTTAGTTCATTGTGGCAGAGGATGCTGAGGCTCCTAGAGGATGTCTGTCTTGCTCAATAGTCATTCTATAGAGAAGTATAGGAATGAGATTGGTGTCTATGTCTGGGTGACCTCAGAGCCCACATTCTTCAAAGGGTTTGGCTAGCGAAGATAGAAGGAAATGGAGGTTGTATGCTATCCTTGATGAGTGTGTTTTCGTAGATCTCACTCTTGTTTACATCCCCAGCTCTTGGGATCTTAATCATCTTGAGGAAAGCACTGAGGTCGTTTTTAAGTCATTTTGTATATTTATTGCTGTGCACTTGATGTTGCTTTTTAAGTGTAGTGATTCAACTAACTTATCCAATCCAAAAACTGCAGTAAGATCATATTCCTTTTCCTAAGATGAACTTTTTCTTTTAATGTTTCTCACTTTGGGATACTTTACTACAACAGAGCCTGGGAAGTGGTTCAGCAGTTAGGAGCACTGGCTGCTCTCCCAGACGACCTGAATTCCATTCTCAGCACCCACAGAGCAGCTCACATCTGTCTTTCACTCCAGTTCCAGGGAATCTGGTGTGCTTACACAGACGTACATGCAAGCAAAACACCAATGCACATAAAAAATAAATCTTTTTAAAAGCTACTTTATACCATAAAGACTTCTTCCTGAGGTTAAGAGACATCAATTTACAGTTAGAATCACAAAGGAAGTGATATTTAAAGAGTATATTATGTGATAGGAATCATATTGCGTTATTTGTGCTTAACTTTGAAAAAGTGGTTACCGTTATTGATTCACAAGAGGAAAATTGACAAGGCACACTCAGGCAACCCAGTGAAGATGCTGGGAATTTTAATTGCTGAACTATTGTTTTGTTGACTCTCTATCATTTCTTACATAGTCTCATGATTGCTTGAAATTATCCTGCTCTAAATGTCATATCAAATTGGGAGGAGAAAATTTGAAAGGATAATGTTATCCAGTGATTTCATCATAATTGCCATGTATTAATTTTCCTTTTTGCTTATCATTTGTCCTTTTTTTTTTCCTTCCAGAAGAAAAATACAAAGTGGAAACAAGGACCATTGCTGTTGACTTTACACTGGATGATATTTATGATAAAATTAAGACAGGCCTGGACGGTCTTGAAATTGGCGTTTTAGGTTTGTATTTTTGCCACATTTATGACTCATCTTGTTCATTCTTTGGCTTTTACTGTGTGTTTATTTTCTCTTTGGAGGTTAGGTGTTTAGTGGTAAGATTATTACTGATCCAGTTGATAGCTAACCTGTATGTACTTGAAGCTTTGCTTGTAGATCAGTGACTTTACAGTTCGGTTATGTTTTGTTTACTTTATGTCCAGTCTTAGCTTCTCTGTATATATTAGCCACAATGAAAGGCTGGGCTTGGTAGTGACACCTGTAATTTCAGTATTCAGGAGGCAGAGGCATGCTTCTATGGTAACTGTCCTTTAAGGTGCATGATGCTGACCATTCATGGCTAAGGAGATGGAGATCTGCCAAAGTTGTTAACTCTTGTTCCCTGCAAAGCCTTTGTAGATACTGTCCACAGTCTTAATTTCATGAAATGTTAACACTGCAGAAAAAATATTTTTATCTATGCTTTATACACAAAAGAACTCTTCCATACACACTGTGTCTTAGTTAGGGTTTCTATTTCTATGAAGCAACCATGACCACAACAACTCTTAGAAAGGAAAACATTTAATTGGGGGTGACTTACAGTTTCAGAGGTTTAGTCCATTATCTTCATGGTTGTGTGCAGGCACATTGGTGCTGGAGAAGGAACTGAGAGTTCTACATCTTGATTTGCAGGCAACAGAAAGAGAACTGAGTACCATACCAGGCATAACGTGAGCTTTTATGAGACCTCAAAGCCTGCCTCCACAGTGACACACTTCCTCCAAAAAGGCAGTACCTATTCCAAGGCTATACTTCATAATAGTGCCACTCCTTATAGGTCAAGTGCTCAAACACATGAGTCTGTGGGGCCATACACATTCAAACCTCCACATATTCCATGTTTCATCTCTTTGTGCAGAAATATTGCAGTTAAAATGCATGCTGTCAAGAGCCTTGGGTTTTGTCTAAAGTAACAGAAAGACCGAGGCCAGCCTGTCTCTTCTGTTTTCTCTAAGTCTATTGCTGTGTTTTGTTTTACCTCAGTTGCTTGCTTTTCCTAGAGAACCAAATGATTTTGCTGATATCATGGGAGTATTGAACTGTGATGTGAAAAAAAATTATCAGATAGTACTGACGGGGAAATAAGAGACCAAATATCACATTTTTTTCATGTGTCGAATCTGCGTTTTATATATATATATATATACACACACACACACACACATATATATATATATATATATATATATAGAGAGAGAGAGAGAGAGAGAGAGAGAGAGAGAGAGAGAGCGCAATCACATACACACATATGATACTAGTTACTAGTACAGAAAGAGAACTATGAGAAAGAAGGGGACCAGTAAAGAGAGGAAAAAGGGGGAAAGGGATGGAGGGTTGTGGGGCTGAGAGATACCATGTGTGTGCTTGTGTCTGTGCAAATGCACATGAAGGCCAGAGTTCAAACTTGGGTGTCTCTGTTTTCTGTCCACCTTGTGTTTTAAGATGACGCATTATTGGAACCTGAAGTTTACCAGTTAGGCTAGGCTGGGGCCCAGGGATACTTCTGTGCTGGAATTACAGTTAGGCACTATCATACCTGTCTCTTTTATAGGATGCTGGGAATTGAACTTGTTTGCTTGTGGTTACAAGTTCAATGTAACTTGTAACTTGTGGTTACAAGGCTCACACTGACCATTCTTCCCAGTCCCTTTAGGATGGCCTTTTTATAATTTTTTTTTTTTTTTTTGATTTTTCGAGACAGGGTTTCTTTGTGGCTTTGGAGCCTGTCCTGGAACTAGCGCTGTAGACCAGGCTGGTCTCGAACTCACAGAGATCTGCCTGCCTCTGCCTCCCCAGTGCTGGGATTAAAGGCGTGCGCCACCACCGCCCGGCTTGTTTGTTTGTTTTTTGTTTTTTAGAGATAAGCTTTCTCTGTGTAAGCTTTCTCTGTGTAACAGCCCTGACTATCCTGGAACATGCTTTATAGACTAAACAGATCCTGAACTCAGATCCATTTGCATCTGCCTTTTGCGTGCTGGGATTAAAGGCGTGCACTACCATGCCTGGCCTCCTAAATAAAGCCATTTTTAAAGTCATTTACCCAAGTATAATCCCATTAAATATTCTTGGACATGTAGCTAACCTGGCCTGCCTAGTCTATACCATACATCCTTATGCTTGTCCCATCTGTATAATTTATACTCCTGCCTCACTTTCTGTAGAACTAACTAGATGAATAAAAACAGAGGACTAGTGTTCACCTTTGTGTCTATCTGTTATTTTGTAAATACGTATATTGGGAGAAATCTTTAGAATTTCTTCTTCCTTACCCTAAATGTGGGATTAGTTAAATAGCACCAACACGAGGGAAAGTTCTGACTGTTTTTAAGCTTACAAAAGAAGCTTAAACTTGCTTGTTAATAGAGATGCTCATGGCCCTCCCCACCTTCAGACTAATGATGGATGGGGAATGGTGAAGGCTATTTTAGGCAGGAAGATGGTTGGTAATCCCTAATAAAAGGTGACTGGACTGGGGAACAGTCATCATGTTGTGGGAGAATGGCTTGCTTTTAGAAGTAGTTTGTGTTATTGTAATTGTTCTTTGTAGATCTCGGCTACTTTTCACTGAGTCATTGCTAAATGGTAGATACTGTAGGATCATGAAATTTGAGATTGGAGATATTGGACATCAGGTTTGTGCAGGACTAGGGGATTGTTTGGGCACTCTTTCCTCATCTAGACTGTATCAGAACTGAAAAAAGGCTTCAGTTTGAGTTCAGGCATAGTAAATTTGTTAGAGATAAGAGTTCAGGGCATGTGGTCCCCGAGCACCCCTTGGCTTCCCCCATTCCTCCTGATCTCCTTTCTAGAATTCTAGTACTTTTCTTAGTACATATACACTGATATATATATATATATATATATATATATACACACACACACACACACACACACACACACACACACACACACAGGACAGATGTTTTCCATGTCTCCCATGCTAATTGAATCAGCATAATCCAGCTCCTTAGTAAGTGGAAACCTGTGAGGTAGTAATTTGTATTTGATTGTTCATTTGTTAATTTATAAATGAGTGAAGTAGAGGCATGACAGTGAATAAGGAAAGATATATATGTTCTTATTAGGATAGTGTTCTATAGAAAGGACAACAATGAGCAAAGTTGTTTTGTTTTATCTGGGATAGGGCACACTATAACAAGAGCCAGGGGGAGTTGATAAAAGGGGACATAATTATGACTTGGCTTAGCCAGTGGGGACAGCAAAAGGAAAAGTCCAGAAATATTTAGGAAATAGAAAAAGCTGGTGGTGGTGCCAGATTTCAGATGGCACAGGGAAGGAAATCTGTAGGTGACACACCCATTTATTAAGCACCATATACTAAAATGAACTATTGAGGAGTAACCTTTTAGGGAGATGCTCATTTAAGTTTGTGGTGCCTCTAGGACAGTGAGTGGTTCTCATGACCCCCAAAAGACCATTAGAAAACACAGGTATTTACATTGCATTCACAACAATAGCAACATTACAGTTATGAAGTATCAACAAAGGAATTTTATGGTTGGGGGTCACCACAGCATGAGGTATTAAAAGGTTGCAGCACTAGGAAGGTTGAGCACTAGGAAGGTAGGGCAGTACTGGTGCACGCCTTTAATCCCAGCATTCTGGAGGAAGAGGCAGGTGGATCTCTGTGAGTTCAAGGACAACCTGGTCTACAGTCTCCAAAGCTACACAGAATTCCTGTCTCAAAAGACATTAATTAATTAATTATTTAATTAATTAAAAATAGATAAACAAAAGTACTTAAATAGTTTACATTCTTTTAAATACTAAATCTTTGAAATCTTAAATGCATCTTACATTATATTTCAGTTCTTACTAGCCATATTTTAAGTACTCATTCGGACATGTGACATATGTCTACCAGGTATTCAGCTCCCATTTGCCATGTTTAATTCTCAGTTTATATGGGGAGCCAGAAATGCAACTGCTAGGTTTCTCTTAAGATTCTGGAGCTGTTATTGTCAATTAAAGACAACCTGGCAATGTTCAGCATTTCTGATTGTCACTTCAGTCTATTTGTTCTGTTTGCTCATAGTAGATCAAGGCCATGGATGCCATTGAGCACACTGTATCACATAAAAGCAGACTGGCCTGAAATGTCAGTAGAGTTTAGGCAAAGAAACCCTACTTTAAAGTTACTGGTCGAGGCTGGAGAAAGGGCCCAGTGGTTAAAGCATCCGTTGCACAATTCTAAGGACCTGAGCTCAGATTCTTAGAACCCATGTAAAGTTAGATGCAGTAGTTTGCATTTATAGTCCCAACCTTCTACTGTGAGATGGAGACAGGAGAATCTCTGGAAGCTCTTGGGCCAATTAACCTTACAGATGCAACATCAAATGACAAGAGACCCTGCTTCAAACAAGTTGAAAGGTGAGGACTAACATCTGAGATTGTCTTCTGAACTACACATGCATGTTTACACACACACATACACACACACAAAGTTACTGATTAAATACTTGCTGAAATACAATACAACTTTGGTTTTGATTTCTAGTTGAACTCAGGCCAATAATAAAAATAATTACAGCTGATGTTTTCATCAGCACTGAAAATCACTGCAGTACCTGCACGCACATTCTCATTAGCTGGGCTCCGCTTTCAGGTTGCTTTGTATTCTGTATTGTGTATCACCATAACTGTCTCCTTAGCTATTGACTCTTCTAGCAAATGGGTTACCTGGATTTTGCATTGTAAGTTTGAGGTCACTATCAAAGCACCTTTATAGGCTCAATTTTATCTTACTCCTATGTTATATTTCAACTCTAATGTGCAGGCTCAGTGCAACCCTCTAAAACTTATGAGGTAAGTCTCACATTGTTTTATTTCTCATGGATTCTTAGTTTTCTTTTTACCTTCCTTTTTCTGATCTTGATAGCATCCCCCCACCCCCCCAAGACAGGTTTCTCTGTAGCCTTGGAGCCTGTCCTGGAACTTGC